CTATAATTCAAGAACTGGGGAAGCAGAAGGATGATCAGGTATTCAAAGTCATCCTCCACTATATAGTCCTAGGTCAGCTTGGGTTCCAGGAGACCCCGTCTTTAAACACCAAACAGAAAGTTTATGTGGAGGATGGGTGTATAGCTCAGTAACAGAATGGTTGCTTAACTGTGGGAGGACATAGATTCTACCCCCAGGGTTGCAAAGAAAACAAAAACAGAAACTCCAAAAAGCTTGAAAAAACCAACAACAATAAGGTTTAATATAAACTAAAATGGAGCCTTCCAAAATAAAAACTTACAAAACAAAGCCAATAAAGGATTCATTATCCTACTTCTCCACTTAAGTCTATTTCTGGTTGTTCTTAAATATGAAGGGTGCCTCAGGATGTTTTACTATGATGCCAGGCTACTCTTGCATCCATTGAAGCCTCTCCATCCAGTATCCAATGTTATTAAAATTATGGGTTCTCTTCAACCCACAAGCAGTAAATAAACATCCTGTTCTAATTCCTTTTGCTAACCTGCTCTGTTCAGTGTCTGTTTAAACAGCCTTTTAGCTGCACGTAGCCTCCGGATGCAAAGGAACATGGCACAGCTTTTCCAGTCCATTCATGAGGTACAGCTGCAGTGCTGAAATCACACGGAGTGTGCACTTAAAATTTGGGTGAATCAACTTTTCTAAAGGAACACAGGTAGCAGAATTAATTATACTGATGACATTCTCTTCCAAGAAAATTCATCTGACTCACTCACCAAGTACATTCAGTTCCAGTATCTTTCAGAACCTTTTGAGATCTGCAGGCAACATATTCTTCAGCTGCACATTTTACTTATACATAAAGATCAAGGGTCCTAGAGAGTGGTGTTGCCAAGTGAAATTCCTTCCCAGTAATGCCATTGGCAATCTTTTTCGTGTAATCAAGAGTGTCTCAACTGCATATGGTGTTCATTATTTTCTTTAGAGCTTCCTATGAAAGAAATCACCCATCCCAGTCTCATGTCATCCTTAAAACAGAATGGTGCCAAACCAAAGTCCTCTGATATATTCCATCAGCATAAGATTAACACAGTGGTAGAGTGTTTGCCCAGTGTAAGGTCCTGGGTTCCATCCTCAGCACTACAAAAATGAAGTCAAAACAACAAACAAACAAAACACCTCAGCTTTCCCAAGAACGAAAGATATGTGAGTGAAAAAACAAACCATATTCAAACTTAAAAAAAATCTTTTGAAGTGAGGGTTAGGGGAACAAGTGCTGCAATCGTAGCACTTGGGAGACTGAGGCAGGAAGATCAGAAGTTGACGTCAACCTCAGATATATAACAAGTTCCAAGGTCAGCCTGGGCCACACTGAGACCCTGTTTCCTGAGGGCCTCATTTGCTTATCCCAGAACACATTTTTTTGTTTGTTTGTTTGTCTTTTTGAGACAGGGTCTCCCTGTAGCTCCAGCTAGCTTGGAACTCACTATGTAGACCAGGCTGGCCTTGAATTCACAGAGATCCATTTGCCTCTGCCTCTGCCTCCCTAGTGCTGGGATTAAAGGCTTGTACCACCACACCCAGCAATACATTCTTTTTTGTGTTTGTGTCAGCACATATGAATGTGTGTGTGCGGGGGAGGGGTACACATGTGAAGCCCAGAGGTCAACTTTGGGTGTCAATCCTCAGGAGTGCTCTACCATGTTTTATGAGCTTATTGTTCCAAGGTTTACTGACTAGTTGTAGGAGACCAAGATGGCAGGATTTAGGACAAGATGGGCCTGAACTTTTAAGCTCAGTCTGCAGCCTCTACTAATGGGCAAAGCACTGAAAGCAGTGTCTCATAGCCCTGTCATGTGGAACACCACAATAAGTAGCAGAAGGAAGCAAATGCACAGGAATACAACTCCTGCACTCCAAAAATAAGGGAGTGAAGGGACCATTTAATAGGAGGCACTCACCAGAGGTCCAACCATCAAAAGTCAGAAAACTCTCCAAAGGGGCAAGGCTAATATTAAATTAAAGAGTCTAGGAATATCTATTGTCCTAAGAGGTTCTAATTCTCCGGCTGTAGTTATAGCTATGTGTTCCCACCACCCAGAGCAGTATGAAAAGGGGCTCTAAATGTTGGGATGGGATGGGATGGGGAAGAAGCCACTGTGGTAATAAGTTGCCCAGGCTGGCCATGAGCTTTCTCTTTCTAGCTTAGGGAGATGTTGAACTTGCAGTCTTCCTGAATCCACCTCCCATGTAGCTGAGTTTACAGGCCTGTGCCACCATCAACTTCCTTATTTTGAGAACTTGCCACATTTACCTCAACTTTCACCAACCTCTACCCTGCTAGTCATCAGACATGGATAGAGAAGGCAAGCTCCCCTGTCTCAAAGTAAAGAATAGAGAAAAATCAGTCTGGGCAAATAAGCATTTTAGAGATAGCTTGTCTTCCTTACACCTCATTTAGCAACTTTTGCTAGCTTCAAATTTTCCTAGGGCAGCTAGGGCCTTAGTCCAGATTAATTTTAGATTAAGGGCATGTTGTAGCTAGTTTGATTTTCTTTTCAGACAAATACGTGTTTGTCCATATTGTATCAGCAATACAACAGACCGTTTTACTTTGTTATCATTCATGTGTTCACTGTACTACACTAACATGTTCAGAAACTCTCTATTGTTTGAAGGTTTGTTTGTTTAGCCCAGACTGGTCTGGAATTTGGCCCTAAACTCATGGCAATATACCTGCCTCAGTCTTCCAATTGCTAGGATTACAGGTGTGAACTACTATGCACGGCTCAAAACTTTTTTTTTTTTTTTTTTTTTTTGTGTGTGTGTGTGTGTGTAGGGGGAGGTTGTGCGTGTAATTTGTATAGGCATTTGAATATGTGTGGGTGAACATGTTGTGCAGGTGTGCCCATATTTCTCAGGTGTTGTTCTTGATTGCTGTACACTTTATTTACCAAAGCAGGGTGCCTCTCTGAACCAGGAGCTTGCTGATTCCAACCGATCTAGCTAGTCCACGGGTTTCCCCTCCTCCCAAGTACCGGGAGTAGAGATTGCCTTGCATACCCAGCTTTTACATTAGTTCTGGGGATCCTAACTTTGGTTCACATGTTTACTTTATCCACTGAGCCATCTTTTCAGCCCTCCTTTTTTCAGTGCTGGGGAGTAAATTGAAGGGCTTTTGCACATGCTAGGCACATGTTCTATGAGTAAACTACATCCCTAAGCTGCAGTAGCTTTTCCTTTGCATTTATACCTTGACTGTTCAGTAAAGACACCAGGCTTTCAGTTTACTTCATCTTGTGTGTGTGCATGTGTGTGTATGTACACTTGTGCACAGGAACATGTACATGCCAGAGGTTGATGTTGGGTGCTGTGTTGGATAGCTTCAGTTGTCAACTTGAAAAAATAAAAATAAAAATGACAACTGAACATAGATTGCCTGAATAGATAGAAGGTCTGAAATATGAGAATTTAAGTTCATGACACGGGGGTTGGAGAGATTGCTCAGCAGCTATGAGCCATTAGTGCTCTTCCAGATGACTCAAGTTCAATTCCCAGTACTCACATTGGGCAATTCACAATGACCTGTAACTCTATTTCCTGGGGAATCCAATGCTTTCTTCTGGTCCCTACACACAAATGCACACACATACATACAAGAATCAAAATGAAAACTTTTTTTTGGTCTTCTTGAAACAGGGTTGTCTTGTAGCTCCAACTGGCCTGAACTCTCTATGTAGACCAGGCTGGCCTTGAACTCACAGAGATCTGCTTGCCTCTGCCTCCCAAGTGCTGGGATTAAAGGTGTGTGCCACTATGCCTGGAATAAATAATTTTTTAAAGAAAAGAACATGGGGCTGGAGAGATGGCTCAGGGGTTAAAAACACTGGCTGCTCTTGCAGAGGACCTGTGGTTTGATTCCTAAGACTCACATAGTGGCTAACAATTGTCTGTAACTCCAGTTCCAGGGTATCCAATGCTCTCTTCTGACGCCTGTGGGCACTGCACAATATGGGTGTATTTACATATATGCAGGCAATGCACTCATACACACACACACACACACACACACACACACACACACACACATAAATAAAAATAACAGCTTTAAAAAAAAAGAAAAGAACATGACACAAAGACATGAAGTGAACACATAATGCTGCAAAAACAGTATCAACAGGTAAGGCTAATCTGATGCATGGTGTCCACAAATCTTCAACTGAAAAAAATGCAATATTTGGGAACTACAACAAATTAAATCAAAAGAAAATGAAGTATGCCTATATTTTCAAAGTTGTCTAAAGGAGAAGTGAGCAGGGGTTCAGCAGCTTCAACTGTCCCCAGATACTCCTGAGGGTAGCCTAAGGATTTTATGGAATCCCTCATTTAAAAGATGTGTTGCACCTGGAAAGAGGTTTCAGCAATTAAGAACACTGGCTGCTATTGCAGAGTACCCTGGTTCAGTGCCCAACATCCATATGGCAGCTAACACCATCAGTAACTGCAGTTCCCAGGGATCCGTCACCCTCCTCTGGCCTCCGCCTGGCATTGCACCACATCGGTGCATTTATATACACACAAAAATAAAAAAGGAAAAGAAAAAAGGCATGCATTCAGTACACTATAAAGCGCCATTTCTTTGTGTTTGTGTATATGTGTTCATTTCTGTGCAGGTGCACATGCATATGTGCATGTGGAGAGCAAAGGTCAACCTTGGGTGTCATTCAAGAACTATCCACCTTGCTTTTTCAAACAAGTGTTATGTGACACTATTAGTATGGAGACCTGAACAAAAGTCTACTACTCATCCCAGGTAGGGAAACCATGACCGATCAAAGTAAGAATATCACCAAAGTCCAACTTGGTGAATCAATGAGTTTTAATTGAGGTTACTTATAGGTATATGGGCAAGGCGTTACAAGAGTAGAAATAACTCGAAGTTTTATA